GGGTTGCGATATGGACTATGACGAGATAGGATACCTGTGTGCAATTGATAGGCGGACCAGATATAATGATTGACAGATTAACGTTCCGAGAGACTAGCCACAAAAAACGATTCTAAGATAAAAGCAAGCCTTCTTCTTGGAATATCTGTAAAGAATACGTTTAGTTGACGTCCGCTATAGTTGGATCGCTGTACGGTCTATTTTAATTCGTCAGTTGACGAGGCAGATCTCTACTATGAAGGTCTCTTTCGACCAAAGCAACGAATTGATAATAACAATTATTTATATTATCATTTTTTCATGGATATATACTCTTATATTTGCATGCTCCTTAGAAAATGTGCAAAATGCTCTACTATCCTCGTGGAATGAAAATTCAATGCTTTACCACAATTGTTGCGCGCTGCAGATTGGCTGATTGGGGGCATTGGGCTCACCTCGCTACGCTCGTGGTTCCAAACACTTTCTGGCGCCAAATAGTATTTTCAAAGATTTGACGCATTAAAAAATGGTGCCGAAGCTGTGCCCCTCGATGCTGGAAATTGCATTTCGACCGAGATAACATGAAGTTTAAGGACAGCAAGGATCCTGTTATACACGGGATCACTAGTAGCAATCTTCAAGAAAACCTTCTCAAGTATATATCAAAAATTACCTAATTTTAAGTATTTAATGGCCGAATGTTACAGTGCTTAAGTTATATTCCGTGAGAAAGACCCTCGCAAACAAATTCGGAAAAATCAATTAGCGACCTCGCTGGGATTCGAACCCGCGACCCACCGATGCTCTACCAGCTGATCGAGCTACAAGGTCAAACGGGGAGCAGTTCGAGGTAAATAGAATCTCAGTAAAGATATAAATATGAAGACTGCATGGCACTATGATTCCGGGAGAAAACCCTTGGAAATAATTAATTCGTTAAAATTTCCGACCTCGCTACCATATTGTTTTGATACTTACATCTTTACATTGCTGAACGCCGCGGTTCTTTTACATATCAACGATAARTATTTTTTAGTCGTTTATTTCTCTGTAAAACTAAATAAAATACTACAAATAACATCAACATTACACTTAAAAAYTGAACAAATTTCAAAAGTATGCCAAGTCAGGTGGTTATTGGACCGAAAACTGAGTGAAAAACTGAGTCCAAGTTTATACTGACCTAAGACAATAAGTATGCAGTGCAMGAATCGTAAGGGATCACCAAGTCTGCAGTATTTAACCGTTAACAGATTGAAGACATATGATGGCGAAGTAACTTTGTCTCCGTGGTCTCTACACTGTTATATGGTTAAGGTAATATGGAAGCATGCTCGATCTTAATCCTCATTACAGCAACTTACAATTTGCTTGTTTATAGTCATTTTCATCCGTCTGTGAAATAGGAATTGTTCTATTAAATACTTTTACCCCCTATTAGCTCCAAATAGTTTAACTTGCGACATGCGAAAAACAAATTAGGCAAACACGGTTTTGACTTTGCCTTTTGGTAGCCTACTAAACCCTAATAGTTACTATTAAACACTGACTAGTAGTAATTGTTTCACAGACGGATGAAAATGACTAATATGGTTGAACAAAATTGTGCAATTTGAATGGCTTAGAGGAGTGGTATTTATCCTTTATAGTGGTATTTCAAATTGAACAATTTTATCCAACCATGCATGTTATAAACAAATAATAGCATGTTTTGTACGTGGACTTTGGGATAAATACCACTTGTGACAGAGTGATTTTCATCCGTCTGTCAAATAGGAATTGTACTATTTGATACTATTATCCCCTATTAGCTCCCAATAGTTTAACTTATGACATGCGACAAACTAATGAAGCAAACACGGTATTGAATTTGGTAGCCCACTACACCCTAATAGTTACTATTAAACACTGACTAGTAGTAATTGTTTCACAGACGGATGAAAATGACTCTATTTCAAAATTGTGTCACAAATTTCAATCGCTTCAATCGTGAAATTTTGTTTGACAATTTTGAAATATCACGAATACCACTACAAAACACGCTATTGCCTGTACTTATTCACATTGAATAATTTAAAAGGAAGACAGTAATAAGTTGTTGATCATGGAATGAGGACTAAAATCGAACATGATTTCATATATTTCTTAATTGAAAAATGAAAATGTTTCACGGGTTTATAACTTCATTCAATTTCACGGCTTAATGAACAAGACTCTGGAGTGAAGTCACTAAACCCAATAGTCAAACAATGTAATTAGATCGTACTAAGGCGTATTACCGTAATATCTATTTCACAAGTTTTTGGCTTCACTCTAAGTTAATTAGAACTAATAAATTGTGTTTGCATGTCATCCGAGGTAGGAGAGCACTCCACAGAAAATGATTACAAATGAGATACGCAACGTATTAACGGCTACAAGGTCTTAGGAGGGGTCCGTACCCATGAACGAACCAGCTATATCTTCAGTATTAACATGCGTACATTTAAAACAAAACAATATAACACTGCGTCTACAAGTTAAACCGGTATAGTATTCACCGGTTTAGAAACGAATCTACAAAAACGCTGTTATGATATAACAATTTACTCGGGAGTTGGGCTTCTACTTGTTCTGTCGTTCTGTTCCTCGTCACCTCTGGCTTCTTCTCTAGGTGAAGGCGATCTTGAACCAGACCTTGATGGCGACCTCTCTGCCGGGGTTGGCGATCGTGATGCGGATCGTGACTTGGAGCGGTGTTCATGTTTGGAGTCACGTCTTGATCGTTTTTCATCTCTGTCTCTGTGGCTGGGCTTTGGTGAACGTGAGCGTGATCTAGAGTATGATCTTTGGCGCCTTCTCCTAGAAAAAGACAAGAATCAGCTTGTGAACTATCTTCAAATGATGGTAACTCTGGACATGCGCAGAAAACGATTTCACTTTCTGGGTACTGGGTATACACCTAATTACACAAACGTTGTCCAAGCAAAAAGAAATTTTACTATTTAGGAATTTAATTAAAATACAAAAGAAAGTGTTCAGCTTCAGTGGTCATGTTTTGTCTTTTAATGTATTCCTAATTTCCTAAATCCCTAAATCTCAGGACAACGTTTTCGTAATTAGGTGTATATACTGTATTCAGTACAATTCTTCGTTTTCAGGTTACGTCATAGCGGCCATCTTGGAGGAACTTCAACAAAGGATTTMTCGTTAGTATCCATTGTTCATTCCTCCAACATGGCCGCAGGTCTTTTATCTTYTGAATCTCATGGGAATGGTTGAAAACGATCAATAAAAACTTGCGACTAAGAACCTGTTACTGCCTAAAATTTGGATTTTAAACCCCCTATAAATAAACCCCCTATAAACAAGAATCTATTTTTAACCTAAAATTGAAAACAGGTTCTTAATTTTTAGAATCAAAAATTAAAAAGCAACTGGTAACTGTAAAATGAGTTATTTTTTTATAAATGTTGATCTGCTCAAGATATCTTCCACTAGATACTAATCATTAAAGGAAGCTTTGAAAAATGTCAACTCCATGCTTTATGGAATCTTSATGCGAATTTCTTGTCTGAATTGTTCAATATTGTACTAATGTTTGTGCCATCTTTAAATGTTACTTTATCATAAATTCTGTTTGCTTTGTGTAACTCAGACTTTTATACTTTCTTTTCACAATCATAGCATTACAAAGTAATAACATGCCTTCTTAGTAATATTAGGAGATTGTGTGTCCCTCAGCATCGGGAAGTTAAGTAAAAGTCCCTTCAAGTTGTGGCCGTCACTTTTAATCTCCATTATCCCTTAGAACCATGGTATTACTTATAATAAATTCATAGCATTTCCCTCTGTAGTAACAATTTTGATGTATTTTCTTACCTTGGGCTCCTGCTTCTTCGCCTAAAAATATAACATCAAACAGTCAAACCAAAACATACATCAAACAGTCAAACCAAAACATACAATTTGAAATGATAATCATCTACATCATGATTATGATAATTTTATGGACATTAAGACAATAGGCCTTTTTCATCAATTGGTCACTTGGTACAAAATCCGCCATACACTGGACGGCAATTAGAATGCATATGGCAATAGTTAACCCCCCCAAAAATATTATTTTTTTCAATAAAGAGTAATCTACTGCAAAAGCAAAATTATTTGCCTCGGTTGACTAAGTTTGCATATATTTCCATATAAATTCCTGATTGCCATCCAGTATGATAGAAGTGTATTTGCGACTTTCCATACTTAGGTCCAGTGATTATGAACAAAGTGTTGAATCAAGGCATCAAGATGCACTGCGCACAGACCTTTTCTTTTATACTCACTTTACTTTGACACCTCGGTTCAATCCTTGGTTTGTGGTTACTGGACCCGAGTATGGAAAGCTGTGAATCATGCATTTGAAAATGCTGAAAAGGCGTATTATCTGTATAATAATGACGACAATCAATGACGGCATGGTAAACCTTCTTTTAGGATCATTGAACTTTATATCTGATCAAGGTCATCAGTGAAGGATTGACTTCAGTAGGTTATTTCACTAGAGCGGATTTGGTGTGAGTGGGAAACGGACGGTACTGTACTGTGACCGTAATCATTCTGTAACCAAATTCTAATGCCCCATTGGTTCATAAAAATTGTGCAGGCCAGGTCCGGTAACCGTGCGGTAACGGTGTCCCACTCATAAGAAATCCGCTCTAACTTTTTACTTTTGTTAAAATTTATCACATTTTATCACTGTTGAGTGCAATCAACTCTCACTATAATGGACATCTTTAGGATGATAGAACTTTATATCTGATATCTTTATATCTGAACGGCATCAATAAAGGATTGATTTCAGTAAGTTATCTTACTTACATTGTACTTTTTACTTTGTTAAAATTGGTTTATATCATTTTCAAATTGCTCAATACAATCAACTCTCAATATAATGGAGAGTGTTAGGATAGTAGTCAAGTGTCAGTTAGTTTCAGTAATATCTTGGGGATTACAAAGACGATGATAGTATGTTTGTAATAGGCTAGAGTTGACTGTATATTAGATTCATGATTGGGGATGAATGTAAACAGCTTTACAAAGTATAAATTTACCTTCTCCTTGGGCTTCTGCTTCTTGAYCTTCGCCTGGAAAAACAAAATTCAAAACAATCAAAACAAATATGTTTAGCTAGTTTTATGACAGTAGATTTTCATCAAACTAGGGCAGTCCCTGTCACCAAGAGTTTTTTCACTTTCTTCTATTAAAAGTCTCTCAAAAGTCCACAAGCAACGGAAGGGTTCAAGGTGTTAGTATGGACTCATTTTAGTATGGACTCATTTTTGTATGGACTCATTTTAGTATGGACTCATTTTAGTATGGACTCATTTTTGTATGGACTCATTTTAGTATGGACTCATTTTAGTATGGACTCATTTTTGTTGTAAAATGACTTTGTTTATTAAAGGAAGCCGTTTCTCTTTATTGAAAATCAGAGTTTTGATTGATGAAAGAAGCAAAAACATTAAGTTGGAGTTGGTCCACRTCCACTGGAATTGGCATTTTAGTAATCCTCAATTGAATGAAACTCATGTACCTGTCATCTCTGTAGTCATCATAATAGCCACCTTTGGACTTGGTTCTCATCTGACTAGGTGCTGAGGTAAACAAAATAACTTATTTAATAATCTAGAACCTGCTGCAGTGTATTACTAAAAAATGTCATGACGCCTGTCTGTACTGTATCGTTGCATCAAACATTCTTCATATTTACTGTAKGTGGGYGTACAATGACATAGCTTGTTTGGTATCCGTTTATTTTCCACAAAAGACTGTTTGCCAAAGTTGTTTCGCTCAAGTTTTRAACCGTTCACRCAATAAGCGATATGCATTATGGCGTCATTTACTACAACTACCAGAATGCTTTGCCAACTTTCTTTTGTAATGCAATTAGTGCCAATTGTCATTTCAGAAAATAATAGAGAATAAAGAAAGATATKAAAGGTATACCAATATGCATCCAAAATATCCAATTCAAAAAATAAGCAATCTGAACTTATAATTCAAGATTATATTACTCTCAACAAATTTTGAAAATTTGCCACTGTCAACCATTGTCAGGAATTGCTAATAGATATGAGCTATTTTTATTTTTGGGCTAGATTTCTTTTGGCTTGAAATCCAATTTAGCTAAAATACAAACATTGGTGCCCACCTATTACAATCACTTGAAAGACCTATAACCAACAAGCAGATTTGACTCCTTTAAGTGCACTTTACATGGAGTTCAAATAATAAATGTTTTAATTTGTATAATTTTCAAAACAAATTTGGGTTACAGAAAAACTCAATAAACTACCAATCCAGACATATCTTTAAATTAGGAGTTCACAGTTATTTCCAAATGACTATAAATTCAGTTRTAAGACTAGTTATCTAACTAGTGAGCTCATGGACCTGTGAATGCAGTGGGTATTTGATGGTTTTGATTCAAAAATGATGGATGTATATTGCACATTAAAAAAAAATATTATTTATTATATCATTTAAAATTAAAACATTTAGCCTGTAATCTGCTATAAATTCCAAACATTACTCTGTCTTTTATGTCGCTTCTGTAAAACCAACAAAAGTCTAAAATACTATTGCCAATTCAGTAATATAGGCCATATTTACAAATTTAACACTTACTTTTACGATCACCTTCTGCAAACTGTACTTCTAGCTCTCTACCAAGAAGCATTACCCTGTCCAGATAATACAAAGCATCTTCTGCATCACGGATATCTTCAAATGTAGTCCTTGTTAAGGCTAAAGTATCTAAGTAGCTGTGAAGAGAAGTGCTTTAAGTGCATCTATGTCATGTCAGGGATTGGATCAACTTTCTGTCGATTCTTTCCAGCTTTTTTCTTTAATGAAGACTTTGTCACGTTGCAAMTATTTATAGGACCCTTTAGCAATTTCAATCKTTTGGTTAAAATATCTCTACTTGTTTTGGAATCTTTCTACTTTATCCTTTTGGAGGACTTTGCTTTAACTTGAAACTACATCACTAGAACAGAACTCTACTTGAGACCTTTTAGACTTTAGATGTTATATTCAACTCTATGGGATCATTTCTTTTGAACTTTACTCTTTAGTTCAGACTTTGTCTTGCAAAATCACCACACTCTAACCTAAAATTGATTGTCTGCAAAAATCATAAATGTGTAACTAAGCATAGTTTTTTAGACTTCAATACTGCAAGTTCCTYGTAGTCTCTTCCAAAACACACATTTTAACATCAGTCAGACAGCTGTTAAGTACGCATTCACACTCGCAGAAAAACTTCAAACATGACTTGAGCTGTAATTCTACTTTGCCTTTGAAACATGTATCATTACCTTATATGTATCTTTTACTTTAGCAGGCTTTGCCTTGAGATACTTGACTATAACCGCAAAATAGCTACAGAATGAACTTTAAGCAGAATTCTTTTACATAAAACTCTCGAGCAGACTTTGTCTTCCATAATCAATGTAGTCCGTCATTCAAATTATTCAAAAAGCAACTTTCATCTTTACACTTTAGTTTTTAGCTTTACTTGCACTGTGAAACTTTATTGCAGGCTTTGGGCTAGACTTTGCCTTGTTGTCAATTGGCTTATGCCCTGTTTCTGTGCAACCAWTCAAAATATGCTTTCTTTATGGTCTTTTAAGCTGTAATCTTTTAAGAATGCCAAGTCTTTTGCATGAGATGATCAAAAACCATCAAAAAGAAACCGTTTGGTGCACCTTTGTTAAGCTTTCTTGGAAGTGCATTGCAACAGAACTTTAAAAGCCTTCAATGAAAAGACAACATTCATTCAACTCTTTCAGAGAAAATGTCAACAAAATTATTGACATGGAATAATCTTATTACTTACACAATGAAACACCAGATGTTCTTTAGGTTATAAGYCTTTACTCTGTTTTTTGTAACTTTAGATCTTTAAAACACCTTTTCTGTTCTTTACTCATTCATAAAAGCATATTTTGACTAAGAAATCTTTTGTCTGTGTWAACTTTCTCTTTAACCTTTTTTCTTTGCTGTTCATAACTGTCCTTTCAATTGCCAGTTAATATTGCCTGACAAAGTACAATAAAAATATCAATTTCAAATATGAGTTTTTTTCTTGTAAATTATTTTATAGATCTTTGTGGGAAGATTTAAGTTTTATAAGCAAGTTTTATAAGCAATGCTGACTAACTGAATCTGTAAATCTAAGATGATGTGTGCTATCAAAAATATTGCAGGTGCTTGTATGAAAATGAGGCATTATAAAGTGCATTTCATAACAATCCTTAAAATATTTCATTTTTATGCATGAACCTGCAACATTTTCAACCAAATAATGAGGTAATCGAAGTTCTAATATTTAAAAGAATTACTCTTTTTAAATAAATTTGTATGACACTGGACATAACAAGGGGAGGTATCCAGATTTCAAATTTATTATAATATATTTGGATATGTTCAGCAAGCAGTTTCAAGTCCAAGATTTTAGTCGCCAAATATAACTGTTGACATATTTATCACAATGTCGTAGCAAACGAAATACACTTCAAATTTCTGTAAATTCAGATTATGTAAAAACGAATATTGCTGAATTGTCCCATTCCTTCATGTTAATATATTCACTTTTATTTTATCAACGACACACGACGTTGGTGGTTTCTGGGTGATTCGATTATCAACTTGGAATATTCGAAAATATGAATCTATTAAGCTGCATGTAAATGTCTAACTATTGGATAAAATAAAGGAAAAAGGATATTGTACATAAGCAAATCCTCTGGGTTCCCTCGTGTAGTAATCCAGTGGAACATACACATCGGAGATTCGGCCATATTTGCCAAACATCCTTCGCAAGTCATCTGGTCTGCAACGACAAAAAAAACAAAACGAAATGTCCTAAAATTCAAACAAAAAACACTGAATATCTTTGCATTGAGTTACCTTGAGTCCGGGTGAAGGTTTCGGACGTATAAAGAACTGTTTGGAGGGCGAGAATATCGAGACATTTCGAAAACTTCAAAGACGCCAAATTGTGAGTAAAAACGCGTGTCGACTACGCTGGGGGTATCTATTAAAGCAATACTTTTGATCAGCGGCTTTCCACAGGGATCCCACATCAAATTATACTAAAAACATCTGCAACTCTGCTTGAAAATTACTGTGAATTTTGAAAGTCAAGGGTAGAAAGTTTAGGTTTTTTCAAATCTTTAATAATTTTTTTACAATTTACAATAATACACATCAACAATTACAAAATGTTGGAATCTTCCTCTACGATACTTGATGTAGTTTGGGAACGGCGTATACCGGTAATAATACGTCCATTCACATACACCAATAGGGAAAATTCCACAATAATTCCAGCAGCTGTTCTTTCGCCCTTTAGGATCAAAGGACAAAGTGACCCCCTCTTTCTAGCTTCAAAGTAGACGCTCTTAGAGCGTAAAGTCGGACTAGCTAAGTAAAGTTGTTATTTTCACTAGTGAAAATCACACATTCGAGGCATTCTCGATATAGTGGAAGTAAGAAAAATCTATTCTACAACATAATTTACTTTCAATGTAATTATATGATAAACAGAAAAACGGCTTAGCGAATAATTCAGTTTAGAAATAGTGTTTTTAATTTTCTGTTTGTTTGTTTTTAATGCAACCCTWACTCAACCAACTAAACACGAATTGAAAAACAATGGAATCCCTCAGACTCTTTTAACACGCCATTAAATTTTGCTTGATGGCAAAAGTTCAGTCTATAGGTYCGAGATTAGCCTGCGCATCGACACTAGGGGAGGAGGGAGGGGAAAACGGGGGGGTAAGAGGGTGGATTTTCCCCACATAAGACATATCTAAAGCTAGAGGGTCATTCGATTCAGCTACGTAATTATACTACTCGAAGCTGAATGCGATCTGCACATGCGTGTGCTTCTGATGCTTAGAAATGCATTCCGATGAGATCATGCATTACCATATTGGAGCGACATAGTCCATATCGCAACCCTCAGAAAGCCTTGTGACGCAGTGCATTTTGGGATTGATAAATGAGTAAACAAGTGAAAAACGATGTCAGTGCTCCAGTTGTCTGTAACGTTGTAGACTCAGTTTTCGAAAAACATTGGGAAATATTGATATTGCAGTTAATCTCAAAAGCGAAAAAACAAACAAATATCAACATGCAAGGAAATACAGCAAGAAAAACCTCCAAAAAATGTACAGTWAATCAAGAATTTCCATTTACTAGGCAAATCAAACAAAGATGAAAACAAACATATTTTGTCTGTGGAAAAATCGAAACTAATTAGTGTTTTTACGCCATTTTAGCGATTTGTTTTGATGAAGAAAGGGAGATATATATCCCATGATACATTGCAAAACCATTCAAAATGGCGGGCTTGTGATATGGACTATTACAACAATGCCCCGTCATTCTGAAAACATTAATATTTTGCTGGTCCGCGCTCCGCGGTCATCGCAAAGCCTCATGGCTAATGAAACTTCCGTTTTAAAGAACCGAAACACAATAGAGTTCTACGAAAGACTGCCAAMCGGCTGGATAAATTGCCCCAGTTGAACATTATACTGTCATATAGCTGCGTACTCGGTCGACTATTTGGTTTTCGGAGCATCCCGATCCGCCATCAGTTTCCGCGGGCAACTACCACAGCTAGCATAATTAATGCCCTAAATTCAATTACTCTATTGTTTGGATAGAAATGATGCTTTCAAGAATAGAGTTGTTGTTATTTTATAAAAGTAATAAAAGATATTTTCCGTGTTTCTATTCCGAAAAGACTGATCCGCTTCTAGCTCGTGGTTTAAAACCTTCATACACCTTCATACACCTTCATTTTTTGTGATACATGTTTTAAAACGTTATTTAAAAAAAACTTAGCTGACATGATTTCTATTTTCACACATAATTTAATGCTTTTAATACTAACGAGGGAAGCCACCAGTGGGCATGTCCAGCAAATACAGAATTTTTTCACTTTTGCATTTTCAGATTGATCTCTAGTCTGTAATTATTTATTTATTTCTAAGTTTCTGTGCTTTTTAGCAAATGTTTCCCAAACGTCAAAGACAGCAAGTGTATATCTTTTCTTTTTCCTTCAACAGCTGCTTATTGCAGTAAC